GTCCATCTATTTAAACTGATATGCCGGAAGACACTTATTTGAAAGAGCCGACAAAATTTCAATATTGCTAAACCATCCGAGTGTCGAAGGAGTTTATGAGAAGAAAGTACCCTTGAGCGTTCGGGCTGTTTTAAAGCTTGGCACACTCTGTACATTCGATGAGAACCAACGGGGAGTTTTGGGAGAAGGTCTTGAAAATGGGTTCGAGCTTTCGACACTTTTACGCGCTAAACAGCCAAAGCAAAAATACTTGATGGACGTTTCTATGGAATACATATTCCTCTATCACGTTGTGTCTGGCGATAGACAGATTTTCGCTATTTACTCGAGCCGGAATGAAGAAGCCCATATCGTGATTCTTACGCGGCTGAGAGAAGTGCAAGGTTTTCCAAACGTCGACAAGATATACAAGGAAGCGCTTGAGAAGAAAGTACAGGAACATGCTGGCGAATCGTGGCAACAGATATTTGACTATCAGGATAATATTCATTTCAAGACAACGCAGGTTACGACGAGGAGAAAGGCCTTGCTTGAGGTTGGCGATGTAATTAAGAAATTCCGAATTGACAGCAATCAGGCAATCATGCTGGTTGTTCAGTCTCCTCAAAGACGCCAATTAACACAGGAGATACCGATAATAAAAGAGCATCCTGTTCTACCTCTGAGGTCCGAGGCATCAGACAATGATCTGCCTCCGCTTGGCTGGCAACCCTTTGTTGCAAAACAAATAACAATGCACTATTTAGCACTGGGTTCATGGCTATACCATCTAGGTGAGCTAGCAAGATATGGCGATGTTCCTATCTGCAATCTAGAAAAGGATGATCCCAAATATTTGATTGATATTGCATACGCGAGACGACTGGAACAAAATAATATAGTTCTATGGTGGTCTCCCTCGCCCCTCCCAGATCATGCCGGCTATGAAAAGGACGATATCCTCGGGCCGATGCAGAAGGTAGATATGCCTTCAAGCAACAATCCGGGGGCCTATTCCTCTGTTTGCATTGAACTCGAAATCCGGAACCTCGCGATTAATACAATTCTCACATCATCCCTCATTAACGAACTTGAGGGAAGTGAATCTACTTTGCTGAATCCCGTTGCGCCGAACGAGACTGGAGCTTCAGATGGAACAGGAGTGTTATATTCCGATACTGCGTTCGCTTCTGCGGGCATTCTTGTCTTGCGTGACTTGGTAAAGTCTTGGTGGGCGGAGGCGTGTCAGGGAAATGGAATGGCTGATATTATGGTCCAACATTTAATTCGATGGGTGGAGAGCTCAGACTCTTTCCTCTATGATCGGTCACTACATTATCACGTGCAAATGATGTCTAAAAAGGCATTTCAACAATTGATGACCGATTTCCGACGAATGGGTTCCCAGATAATCTTCGCCAGCCCTAGCCGGTTGTTACTCCAAACCACCAAGGGCGAAGTGGCCAACGCTTACGCTTACAGTCAGTATATCGTCAAGTCGATCAAAGAAAAGCCACTCTTTCATTTCCTGGATTTAGAAATTAAGGAATACTGGGATTATCTTGTTTGGTATGATGAATTCAATTTCGGTGGGAAAGGTTGTCAAGAGGTTGTTGAGACTGAGAACCAAGAACTTGAGACAGTCATGCATTGGCAACTGAGCAAGTTCCTCCCAACACCCTTGCAAACCGTTTTCCTCGACTGGGTCGTTGAATACATTGAACTCATGCATGGGCTGAAGAGACCCACTATTGACAACGAAGGGGCAGACCCGCCTAGAGCCACACAACTGCCATTCCAATCAATTACCGAATCTGACTCGGGGGAAATGACTTCAATCCTCACCGAATCATTCTCCAAGCCACTGAAGAGACAAATTGCGGGGCTTATACGGCGGCAACGTGATGAGCTCCTTCATCCTGAACTGGCGTCTGACTATGTATTTCCCACCCTCCCTGGTGCGTCATGGCGTGCATCAAAACACGAACGCAACCCAACACTTGAGCTGGTTAAGTCTCTAATGCAGGTTCTGAGCCTATGTAAGACCACTACTTTGGAAACGAGACTCCTTCGCCGCGAACTCCTTGCCCTTTTCGAGGTTAAAGAATTTAGCGATGAGGGGAGATTTGAGAATCCAAGTGGAAGTCTCAAATTTCCACAACTGATATGCAATCATTGCACCATGACGCGGGATCTAGATATTTGCCGAGATGGCGATTTGTTACCCGAGAACAGCGCCGACAACATTGCTGCTGGAAGCAACCCTTGGTGCTGTCTCTCTTGTGCCACCGAATATGACCGTCTCGCTTTGGAGGAGCGGCTGATCGGGCAAGTACAAGGTCTTGTCGTCGAATGGCAGACACAAGACTTGAAATGCTCGAAATGCAAAAGCCTTCGGGTGAGCGAATTCATGGAACATTGTTCTTGTAGCGGGAGTTGGGTTGCGACAGTGGACCTAAGTGGGATTAAAAAGAAGCTGAGTCTTTTCAAGAGCGTAGCCGAATTTTATGGGCTTAGAATGCTGACGACTGTTACGAATGGCGTTTTGGAAAGGATGTAGATATTTGTTGTCTTTTTTTTCCTTTTTGCTGATGATGCACTTCCTCTATGATTTCTGCATAGCATAGCTAGCATTATTTGAAGACACATGTTTTGGGTCCAATGTTTTATCAATTAGTTATGAATCAATCCAGCAAACAGAGTAGTACATAACGAGTACACAATATTCATGAAAAAAATGGAGTAGATCGATCGGGGTTTGCTGATCACCTGACAGATTCCGCTGATTCTACTCCGTACATTAAAACATCTTCAGTCGATATCCATCGTAAAAAACTGTTTAGCCGTTTGGGATAATTTCCCGTGGCTGTGTGATGACACCCATCTAATACCTTTCCCATTCTCTCCCTTATCTTGACGTTGTAATTTTCTATTTTCTTCGATTGGTTGACCTCCATCCCCACCAACCCCGCCTTTGAGTATACAACCTGTCTCTCGCTATACAGGCCGGAACCATATCTACATGTCAACTTCATACTAGTCGCTCTCAACATAAGCCCTAGATCTACTCCATCATATCCTCTTCACGGTCTTTAATACAGTCCCTCGCCACGACCTAGTGGCACTCCAACCGCCCACCAACGCCATGACTACCCAACCCCCAAGCACCCAACGGCCGCAAATTCAGCCCTGTAGATATAAAACTGGTAAAACACTTGGAGCTGGATCGTATTCTGTGGTGAAAGAATGCGTACATATTGATACTGGGCGGTATTATGCTGCGAAGGTTATTAACAAGCGATTGATGGCGGGGAGAGAGCACATGGTGAATCTTATCACAGCGCGTCTTTGGAAATATTAAACGCACTGCGGGGGGGCTGATAAAATGGAATTAGGTTCGTAATGAAATTGCCGTGCTCAAAAGAGTGTCGATGGGACATCAGAATATTCTGACGCTGGTGGATTACTTTGAAACCATGAACAACCGTAAGTTGCTAGCTGTCTGTTTCTATAAAGTGGTTGAAAATTGTTCTGGGACGCAAACTTATCGCATCCTTTCCATTTGTCTAGTATATCTCGTCACCGATCTTGCGCTTGGGGGAGAGCTCTTTGACAGGATTTGCCGTAAGGGCAGTTACTACGAGTCCGATGCGGCTGACCTGATCCGCGCAACCCTCTCCGCTGTCGCGTATCTTCATGATCACGGAATCGTACATCGAGATCTAAAACCGGAGAATCTCCTGTTTCGCACGCCAGAAGACAATGCGGATCTATTGATTGCAGACTTTGGCCTATCGAGGATCATGGATGAGGAGCAATTTCATGTTCTGACCACCACGTGTGGCACCCCTGGGTATATGGCCCCGGAAATCTTCAAAAAGACCGGCCATGGAAAACCTGTGTATGCTCTTCCTCCGTCTAGCCATTTACAGTGTTAGACACGACTAACGTGATAATCATGCATGCTTTCCCGTTTCTGGATAGCGATATCTGGGCCATCGGAGTAATAACATATTTCCTCCTTTGCGGCTACACTCCATTCGACCGCGAGTCAAATCTCGAAGAAATGCAAGCCATCCTCGTTGCAGATTACTCATTTACTCCTCTCGAGTACTGGCGCGGTGTCTCCGTTACCGCCCGCGAGTTCATCAGGCGCTGCCTCACAATAGATCCCGGGGCAAGAATGACCGCCCACGAAGCGCTTCAGCACCCCTGGATTAATCCACCCACTGACCCCATGGACCCATTGTCACCTATGCGCATGGGTTCTGGCGAGGACCTGTTGCCTGTCGTCAAGAAGAACTTCAACGCAAGGCGCACCCTTCACAAAGCCATCGATACCGTACGGGCAATTAACAAGCTACGAGAAGGCGGTGGACTAATGATGGAGGGCGCTATGAGTGTAGACCCCAAGCCGGAGCATGTCAACGGGAGCAATGTTGTCGATGATAGCGGACGGCAGCAGCCGGATGGAGCGACGAGCGGGCATCCTGGTGATGAAGATTATATGGAAATTGACTCTAGAGGCAACGCCAGGGGTCAAACTGAGGAGCAAATCCGGGAACAGGAACGCAAAGTAAAGGAGACTGTTACCGGATTGTGGAAGTCGAGTTCGAATCGACGGTAATCCTGTTCGAAAAGGACTATTTAAAGGGGAACTTGTGAGAAGATTACTCTTGTTTCTCGGCTCCTTACTAGCTGCGAATCCATTTCCATCCCGACCGTGATTGGCTTCGTCTTTAACTGGAACTAATGACTTGGAAGAAACCACGGAATATTTTCACGATTACACGTACTTCCGGACTAGATATCACTGGGTGTGCACACGAATCTCCTGTTTTCCCTTTCCAGCCTAACGGATTTTACTTCTTCTCTTCTTCTTTTCCTTTCTGACTATTCTCAAATATCATCACTGGTTTGGTGATTTTGAATCGATATCCTTTTTCTCTCCCCTTAAGTGGAGAATATACTAACTATCGTGGCTTTTTTGTGGCATCTTCCCTCGTTCTCCAATTCTCCTAGCTGCTCTATCTTGTCAAACTCCTGATTCTTTAAAGCCAAATTATATCATTTATACATTGGAATTATAGGAGGAACATGCCCGGAATTGGAAATAATTAATATATAAGCTAGCTTCTATAACCCAGCCTGTTATAGTACAACAGTGGCAAAAGAAATTCATGACAACAAATTTCATTAGCAACCTCTAACCGAAGTAAGTATATCTATTAAAAGCCTCAATATTTCCTTATTTATTTGTTGTTATAAAAAATGTTTGGTTTTCTAAATATGACAAACCGAACACGATGGGATATAACATGAATTAGGCAAAATTGTGCAGGGTCGTGAAAAGGGAGATGGAAGTAGCGGAAGTAGCCAAGATGATGGGACAGAAGGGAGAGAATAAGGATCTCATATCATTCACGTCCCAGACTCTAAAAGCTCCCGACGATTGTCAGACAACTCCACCCATTTCCTCCACTCCTGCCATTCCGCAAAATCGGCACTCGCTTTCAGCCCTTGATACCTAACCGTTTTGAAATCAGAAACGTCGTCCTCCCACGGTTTCCCCCTCGCATTGTTTGCACTGGCAGATGAATTCATGCTTCCTCGAAGAAATCTGCGCGCCACCCTGCCTCCACCACTGTTGCTGCTATAGCCCTCCCAACCTGCTTTTCTCATCAAGCTTTCAACGGTCTCTTCCTTTGTCCACCCTTGTTCGACTGCCACATCGGGAAGGTAGGTAGCACCGAGCCGTCTTCCGCGGTAGATAAAAGATATGCGAAGACCGTGGGTGCCTAGCACCCAGTCAAGGGGGTGGGAGCAGGTTTCGAAAGAGGAGAGGAGCGTTAAGGAGCAAGAGAGGGAGGGGAGTAGGGATGATGGGATAGGCGGGAATCGTGTGTCCCCGAAAGCACTGGCCAGGTCTTGTTAATAATGAGATTCAAGTATGACGGATATGCAGGAAGGGGAAATCAACAAAGGTAGAAAGCAAAGAGCAAAGAGAAGAATTTACTAACGATGTGAGCGCATATGTTTTTAAACCAGCGGCTAGCTCATGTGGCTCAAATGTACCTATGCAGCCGCGAAGTGACTTATGACCGGTGCTGGAGAGGGTGTTCCAGGTGACGAATAAAGGGTATGTCATGTCAGCAGTATCAGTTGAAAAGTTTGCACCCGCTCCTTTTGATCGTGAGAAAATGGAAGAAGCCGCCGGACTAATAGAGGTAGTAGAAGATGCACTTGTCAAAGCGGAACGAGAGGAGCTATTGGACAGAGCAGAAGGGGTAGATGTGTTGGATGATTTGGATGACGAGCCTCCCTGAAGACGGCTGATGATGGGCGATTGCACCTTCAGAGAGGGCTTTGCAATCTTAGACCCATCATCAGATTCTTCGCTATCATCATCCCGAACTTCTGACTGATCTCCATCCGCAACCACTTCGTCATTGTCCAAGTGATCTGCAGAATCCTGAAAGTCAGCTCGCAAAGCAAGAGCTTTGAAAGATTCGAACTCTTCCCACAGGTCTTCTACCGCTGAGAGACTAGGAGGCTCTGTGCCTTTAAAGGAAGCAGATAGACATTCAAAGCAATAGAAACATTGAGCAGCAGAAGCCATGAGGGGCTGCGTCACCGATCTCGAGACTGTTCGTCGCGGCCCCTCTCAAGGTTCTCAGAGGTGGCAAGGAGAAGGACTGCGAAGAGGTGATAAACGGGATGGGCCTTGGTCCCCAAATTGTAGAAGCATTCAAAGCGCGGGGTCTATCACAAAGCTGGTGCCAGCGAAACAGAGGGGTAGCGGCGGGGGATAGAACTGAAAGTGGGAGGCTGGGAGGCGTTGGCTTTGTTCCCCGCTTCACCAAACTGCTTTATTGGTAGCTAGGGCATTGGAAGTTGGCGGTACGCATACAATAGCTCTTTCTCATGCAGATGTACATACAGCCAACGCTCCAAGCCTCGCCGTCTGACTTGACACGTTGAGGAAGACGGCGGGAGCGAGGTCAGGAGAGCCGCATCCAGTGACCTCAGTTAGGGCTGGAGGTGGCACGTGATGACGTCGTCCCCGTAGCTTTTAGGCTTAATTATGAGTATGGTTTAATCTCAAGCAAAGCAACAACTTTATTCAAGATCGCCGCCCTTGAATCGTTTTCTCTTGCGCAGTTGCATCCGGCTGCCCTAATTTGGGATTTAAGGGTGGGAAGTCAACCTATTCAGCGTCAAATGTGTCACCATTTGTGAAAGTTGCGTATCACATCTTATTCACCCCGACTTGCGCGAACCAATAGTCCTTGGGCCAGTTCTCTTGACGATCTCAATGAGCAATTCGAAACATTCCCCTCTTCCATGCTTCTATCGCGTGAATAGATGCAGAAAATGGGCTGCAAATGGGAATATCAAGAATGACGTGGAAGCGTCGATTTTGCTCCACGAGAGTAGTGAGATCCTGGAATGACTCTACCTACATACGTGAAAACTTCGAGAAAGCCTCTGCGAGAGGTAATTGTATTTCGAGAGGATATCCCTTTCTAGTTGCAGAGGCCTTATACTCCTCCAATCCGTGAATTATGTAATGCTCTCCATTGACGCAAATCCCCTCCCGCGGTTTCTCTATGCTACCATGGTCTCTAGCGGCCATGCCTTCCGACATTCTACCTGCAATTGTGTCAAAATGCAGCGATGTGAATTAAAAGGCAAAGTTCGCCATCAAGAAGCATTAATTTTTACTCGCCAGCGAGAGATGTCCTGACGGACACGGGCACGGGCACAAATGACTGGCTCGCACAATACCTGAGCGTATTTTGAAATGATGAAAGAAATAAATTTTCAGAGAAGATTCCCTGCGGACGTATGAATCTGAAAAGCCGGAAATACGCCTCCTTCCTTCATATTTACATTGCTATTAACATTCATAATAACTCCCTACTTAACCCGAATGCCCCAACTAACAGTCCATAGATTCGTTCTTCCTTAAAAACCCCATTTCATTTAGTTCCCGCTTGCGTACCGAGACCATTGATTAGTCCAAGCTTTTGATGCATACACCATTGTGTAAAATTGAGAGACGGACTGCTTCACGGCATTTCCTTTGCTCTCCCTGACTTGCCGCCGTCTCCCGTCTTCTGTGGCTGCCCTTCTGTGTTATACTGCTGTTGCCCTTCGGGCTGTACCAAACTTCCCTGTCTTGTCCTGGATCACGCACAAAGTGATATGAAATGCCCGCGGGCAATGACTGGTGTTATTGGCCGTGTTTGCGGCTAAGAAAA